CAGCAGGACACCAGTGCAGGCTTTCGAGCCCGGCCCGGTGCTCTTTCCCCCCGTGTCCCACAGCTGGCCTCACGGCTGGGCCTGCCTGCCCCCAGACCCGCCGTCCCCAGAAGTGGGATACAGTGGGACGCCGGGGGGGTGCAGAGATGAGCTGCGGGCCTGCCCTGAACACTCTGGCCTGAGAGAAGCAGGTGGACGCTAAGGATGTCCCTCGACAAACATGTGGCAGGCGTGTCCTGAGGGCCTTGTGTGTGCCAGGTGACCTCACGAGCTCTACCCTCCAGGAGCATACAGTCCAGATGGAGCGGGGAGGGTGGGGACCTGTGTGCCATCACCTGCTCGGCACAAGGGTGGGCGATGTGAGCTCCATCCACCTCTGGAGCAGCCTGGCGGGCTGTCTGAGGGAGGCCTGGTCCTGTCTGTCCCGCCACACCACCTTGCATCCATGCAGGTGGCGACACCAGGCACAGGTGAGGGGTGACGGGGGACCGGGAGGGCTTCCCAGAAGAGTGGGCTTAACCGAGCCTTCTCCCAGCAAGCACAGGTTGAGAAGCCTGCCTGCCAGGTGCTCCATCCGAGCACTGGACTAGACCCCTGGGGAGGCAAGTGCGGGAGGTACAGGCAGTCACACGCGGAACTGGAGACCTTGAATGCCAAGCCAAGGGGCCTGCCACTAGCAGGGAACCTTAGGGGGCTTTGAGTAGGGGGCAGAAGGGTGGTGTTTCTGGCAGCTTCGCCTGATGGTCGGTGGGGTGGAGCGCTCCCGGCATGGGGACACTGAGGCAAGCAGGCCAGTGGGGAGGTCTGGAGCTGCGGAGGCAGGAGCTGGGCTGGGACCCGGCAGCGAGGAGGAGATGCGGATGTGTGCAAGGATTACTGGCAGAGCAGGGCGCCTGAGGGCACCTCTGGGTCAGATGCCCAGGCGCCCTGCAGCTCTCTGATGCTGGCCGAGTCGCAGGAGTGGGTCTTCTCTGTGACTTTCCAGGCAGCCGATGCGTCTTGACCACTTACTTAGCGCCGGCCACTGGGTTCTCGTCCCGAGGCCCGAGGTGTCGCGCCGCACTGGTCAGACAACGGGGCTGCCGTGGCTTCTGGGCCGGACCATCGTCCGCAGCCTACCCCCACCTCCACACCACACCATCCCCCAGCCCTGAGAGCCTACCACCCTCAGGCTCCAGGTCAGAAGAAGCCTTAAAGAGCACCTTGTCTGTCCAGCTCCCTTGTCCTGGTCAGAACCCCTCTCTGCCGTCCCCTCCAGCGCCTACCAGCCTCTGTTTATGGCACTCCGCAGTGGCAGAAAGCTCATTACCTTCCAGCCCCCCCGGGAGGGGTCCATACAGGGTCTGCCTTTAGCCCTGGCTGTGGAACCTCCTGTACCCATAGGCCCCTCCTGAGTGCTGAAAGATGAAACCCCGGGAGGTGACAGAGTTCTCTCCTGCATCCAGGTTGTCAATAGAGGCGGCCCGGACCCACCTCGGGCAGCACTGTCTGGATGCTGCCTGGCCCCACGGAAGCCTCTCTGATGAGGTGTGAGGGCTGAGCGCCTTGCTGTGTGGGTGGGGGCGTCCATTCATGGAGAATTTCAGAAGCACCCCCCCACCCCCACCCCATCTCACCACCAGGTGCCCTGAGTGTGGCGCTGGCCCTTTAAAGCAGATCAGGGTTTGCTTTTGGGGGGAGACATCCCAGATTTCTGCCATCTGCTTACAAGCCTGGTCCAAGGAGGGGGGCCATCCCAGCCCCCGACAGGGGCATTGGAAGGGCAGGTGGCATCGATTGCAGTAACCTGATCCGATCCCGAGGGGGAGGCGGCAACGCAGCGGCTTCAGCGCAACTGCAACTGCCGGGCCAGGCCGGGAAGGAAGCCGCCTGCAGCTGAGGGCTGGGCTGGGAAGCGCTGGGGCTGGGGCCTGGGTCTGCAGCCACTGCCTCTCCTCCTGGCCCATCTATTTTTAATGAGCTCCCCAGGCTTCTGCTGCGGGCAGGACGCAGAAAGGCAGGCCCCGGCAGTGGAGGCCCGAGGCCCCAGCCCTGCCCTGAGCCCTAGCCCCCCAACCCTGCTGGGCATGAGAGGGTGGCCCTGGGGCCCTGCAGCCCCCCGGCCGGGCAGGGCTCTCCATGAAGCTGGTGCCGAAGATGGATTCGAGCCCAGACAATGACAGCTGGTTGGAGGACCAGTGGGAGCGCTGGTAGGGGGTAGAGGGGTTGGTGG